CTATAGTTCTATTATCGTAATCCTCAATCATTGTCCTGCGAATAAAATATCTTACTGTTATTTGTTTTTAAATTAAACAACAACGGTTCTAGTAAAATACTTGTAATTCTACCGTCGTCCGCCAAACAAAAGTGCATCTTTTGGTGGAAAATAGAGGGTCGATTTTCATTAGATTTCTGAGGAAAGCGAGCCGTATAGTTGTAATAAAATAATTACATAAAGTTCTGCGCTTTTGAAGTATAAAGTGTTCCGTTGAAACATTTCTATTATATTGTTTCTCGTTAGGGGCGGGCACGCGGAAAGTTAAATACATTTTTCTGTTTCACCGCACAATACATTTTGTATTCACTATTGTATTTGTGGAATTTTCAACAGTTTCAAACTCTGTAACGGCTTTTTGAGTGAATTAGCCAGCTTGTAAGTGAATAACTAGTTGACAAACCGGAACTGGATTAAATTTTATGTTCTCCATCATGGAATCAGGACTCGATCAAAACATCGACACGTATCAGTTAAAGCACTTTTTACAAAACAGCTTAAAAGTATTACTAATTCATAAATATGCAAAGCAAACCCGAAAAACTAAAGCGCTTGAACGAATCAATTGAATGATCGTGCATTCTAAATTAAAATTGCCCATTTTAAGACTACTAAATGTGTCCATGCGTATTATTTGTGACTCGGGTCATGAGAAACTTCGGATATCGATTTAAATTTAAGTTTCGGCAAATTACCCGCCCGAGCTGGCAAAGTTCAAATCTCGGAAGACTTAAACATTTGTTGCAAACAGATATTAATAATAATTGCTCTTAGCGCTTTGTTCGTTCCGCAACAGACTGTATTGTTGTTTGTAGAATACGCGATCCATCAATTTGCATGTATACACAGTTTATATATTTTATCGTCTCTTTATACACGCACAAGATATATATCTCGTTATATTAATTATAAATGAGAGAGGGCTCTCAGTATCCAGATGATATTCTCTGGTGGTCATTTTAGGATTAATTTTTAGATTATGAATTGTAGAATATCATTAGCTCGTAAGTTGAGTCAAGAGTGAAGACATTGTACCGAATAATTATTTTAAGGTATCCCTTTAATCCAAGAACTAGGTACAAATATAATTTTCTACACCCAGAATGTATAGTATCATAACGGGCAATATTTAACAAGATCTTGTCTCGTTTAAATCCGTGTTTTAAAATCAATACTAGACAACATCGGTCTTAAGCTCGTACAAACTGTAACACTCAACTAAATTAAGGGATTACTGGAGCATCGGGACTAGAATTTTAACGAACAAAAGTGGTGACAAATAAGATCCCATTTGATCGCTTCGAATCTCGCATATAGGAGTATAGAATACGCAAAAAGCGTCGTAAATAATTAAACAAAACACAGCGTGTCCCACGAGAGTACAGGTCACGTACAATTGAATACTTTCCTTTATTGAACGTCTGAATAATACAACGACACGCTGATACAACAAGACTGAATTACTGTCCTAATTAACTCGTGATTATTTACAGATTAATTATGATTTTTGATTATAGTGATATATAGTGTAACCGGCTGTATACTTTGTAATATTGAAGTCGAAAAAGTAAGTATCTTAATTATAAATTATATACTCTATGAATCACGTTCAATAATTGGTAGTCATTGTAATTGTAGAATCTTTTTAATTAAAACCTCGTTGACGTTCTTAAGTGTACTTAGTTACTTGCATAAAATAAAAAAAATATTTTTTGAAAGTCATTGTCATTGTCATCTTTAACATTACATTGAACTGTCACTGGATGTTACTTTAAAATTTATTTCAACACGTAAAGTGAAATGTGTAAGTAATGGGATCGGCAAACCCAAAACGCTCATACAGCAATTATAAAGCAGGCCGTAATAAATGAATTTTGCGTCCCTCGCTCGTTTTAAGCCGTGACTTGCTTAAATTACCTTACCTTTGCTTTTAATGTATAACTTTTAATAGAATGTCAAACTGATATTATACAACAGATGTTGTATAATATCAGTTTGATTTACGTAACTTAAAACAACCGGAACAATCAAACCACCATGATTGTTCTACGAGTTAAATTAAGACGTAACATAATAATACAAGTAATAAAAACATAAGTAAACAATAAGTACATAATAATTTATTGTTCTTTTATTTCGGAAACTTATGTTGCTACAAGAATTATAATCTCGTAGATCTTCGTAGCGCTACGAATGTTTTACGACCGCTACGAATTCGGTCTACGATGTACGGCGTTAAATGTAATACTGTACTTATGAGCATAAATTAAAACTTTACAGAAAATATAAATGAATCTTAGTTTGCCGCGCTTAATATGTCAAGTGATAGTATTTGCTTTATCCATGTTAAACGTTTTTACATTCTTTTAATAATGGGTAATGGGCGGTAAAAATCTCTGGAACCGTCGGCCAGTCGTACGCGACTCGTATTCTCCATACATTACTTTATGATGCCAATATCAGTCCCTCTCGTGATCTGAATACTTGAGGAATAATGTATTTCAAGATTGACTCCATTTTTATTGCAGAGGTTTGACTAGTCCGCGATTTTCCTGAAACGTTGGACATTACTATTATTGAGATTCATTTGTAGTATTCAATGTGGTATCTACATTTAAAAATCGTAACTCTAGGAAATACTAAATCATATTAGATAGGAAAATTCAAGTGGAAAGTCAATTGCTAAACTGACAAAAATAACGATGTTGATACAGAAGTGGAGGAAAAGTGAGAGAAAAATATCATCGAAATTATTAACTTTGTTTCCTTTACACCTGTACTCTCGGATTACTGTACTCGTACTACGAAATGAACAGCAAAATAAAAACATATTTTTACTAAAATATACGTACGTGACTTTCCGTGCTCTAAACTTGATATAAGAGGGAACATGTTACTTAACCGTAAAAGGCCTTTTATTTTGTACTTCGTGCTCAACTTATAGACAGCTAGGAAAGTTACTCACGCAAGGCGCAAGGCGAAATCTGCGCGCACAATTAAGCCGACCTACTTTTAGCCTCAACGAACGATTACAATATTACGTTGTTTGTAAAACATTACAAGCAGTATCCAAGATACCGACTTAACAGCTCAGCGCGCGCGAATAACATCGATTTGATATAAAGATATTAAAACCTAATTTCAACGAGTTGAAATGAAATTTACAGCGTCGCACTTCACTTCATTGGACTTTTTAGATTAAAAGATGTCCAAACATCTAACATTTGTTGTCAGCATTTTAAAGGGAAGTTTGTGGTTCTCCATTCATTTCATTGCATGTATTGTGCAAGTCTTCCTAGAAAATGTAGCTTTCGGTAGTGAGTTTTATGAGGTGTAGTTTTCATGTTGGTTTTTATTTTAGGGTACCCGATTTAACAAATATCGAATGTATTCAGGTTTCAACAGTTTTTCTAAAAGAGTAAAAAAAAAGATAAATCATATTTAAATTCGATAATCCTAACCTAACCTAACCTTTCATATTCGTGTGTTGGGACTGGCGTACCATGTTATTTGCATTAAGTATGAAAGGTGTCGATGGATGAGAAAACTTAGCGAATAACTCGAGAAGAATTTCAATAAAAGAGAGAGTCGGCGAAAATATTCACCGCGCCCTGCAGTCGGCGATATGAATAAATTATGACAGAGCCTCGGGGCTGCAGACGCGAGGCCCGCATAACTGCGCGGACTATTATTCGTAATGACTCCGGCTTGACGAAGCCACACACGACCGATTATTTCTCGATCATCCAGCGACACTGCTGTAGTCACACGGACGACAGGACACGACAAATCGCGCAAATCGGTACGACTGTGGAATATGACGCTGTTACTGTGATTATATTCAATAAAACAATAAAAAAATACACCTTATAAAAGAAATAAGCAAATATAGAATTAGAATCTCCTTTCTCCGCATTTAGTTTAGATACTAATGTAATGCTCGATGACAATTTTTTTCTCTCTTCTATACGAATGTGTATTTATTTTCATTTATTATGCCGAGTAAGTTAAAAAGGATAAAGAATAAAAATCCTTTTCTATGTGCATTCTTTGATATTAGCCGAGCTAGAGGTTAAGCGCGGAGCCAATCTCAGAAAGTCTCACTCGAAACAAAAACCAACAGTGTTATAAGAATGCGAGGTAAAGAATTAACCGGTTACCGGAACTGCGCTATGAAACATTACCCGGACTGTGAGGGGCCGGATCTATAAATATTCAGCCCGGTTGCGTCCGGGTCACGCGACATTTGTCCCGGACACCGCTATAGATCACCTTTCTTTGGGATTAGCGTGTCATACTTGATCGTACTTCGGAATGAGTGGTATTGTCTTTAAGAAGTGAGGCTAGGATTAGCAGTACCGGCGATTAATAGTAATGAAAAACATTAACGTTTATTCATAGCATAATTGTCAAATATTAAATCCAACCAAAGTAATGTAGTAAGGTCTTCTTTATTTGCATTTATAAATAGCAGGCAGCGGTAATGGCCGTTATTTTGGAATAATTATGAATTATAATTACTATCGTCTCGAATATGAACAATAATTGTTTTGAATATGTGAGAGATAGTTTGCGATTAATAGTTACAAAAATAAAAAAATAGTAAGCGGTGTGAGTACCTTATTGCAAATATGTAATAATGTTTAAAGTTAGTTTTTGTTTAAAACGTCGGGCCGTAGTTGAAATAAGCCAACTAATGTATCTCGCGTTTTGAACCGTTAAACGTAATTTAAATGTGAACCGCTCGCCTAAACTACAGATAATACTGAGATCCGTGTTTCCTTTTCCTTCGTATCCTCGTACCCTTTCGTGTGTCAGAATTGTAAGCGATCCGCTCTCATAACGGCGTTTACAAGTATATTGCGTGCAAATAAAACGCTCGAGCGGCAGAATTTATTTGAGTCTAAAAGCCTCGAGGAGTTTCTCGTAAAACAATGGGGGGAGGGAACGAGCACAGCCAGTTAATGAGGGAATGATGGAGATATTAGAGGCGTAATGGCGGGTGGTTTTAGAGCTTGTTTCGTTTGATGGACTCCTTTATTGGCGTTATCATCGCCCACCTTTCGTTTGGGGAAATTTACTTCTTCGCGAATGATCGTTACAGGTGACACGAAGGGAGTCAACAATAGTTCCGTTAAACAGGACGAAAACAGCTGTGAGTCGCACCCACGACTCTCTCCATTTTCACGTATGCTTTTTAGATCAGTTATAAAACATTATATATTAACACACATACATCGGACATCTCTAACATATATACAGTGTTCTGGACAAGTGCGGAGTCAGCGGAGGTTTTATTTGGGTTTGGTGATTTATGAAGATTGCTGGGATGCAGTCGAGCGAGTCTGGCCAGTGAAATAGTGGCTGATATTGTCCCTAACACGCCCGGCGGGACAGCTCCAATAGATTGCGTTTTTACTTCACTCGCCTGAAAGCCATTTTACGAATAGAGTGCTTTATTAACTTTCATATACGTTTTGTGGAATTCTAAGATAAGAATCGTCCACTTGCGGCGGCAGAACATCGGCACTGTAAAATAACTGCCGTGGGTTATAGCCACGTGGGTTATAATCGGCCATCTTTAGTCACTGCCTATTATTTATATGATTGATTTAAACAAAGCCAATTTTATTTTACTTTTTAATTTTGATTTTTTATCCTGGTTCTGCGAATAAAGAGACGTTAAGCTAAGCATAACCTTGTATATGAATAAAAAATAAAAAGCCTAAAAATGCGGGCCTATTAAACCTACTTGCGTACTCTTTCTACGTGACTTCGTATTTCAATATAATTTCACGATAAAAACAGAATTCAATTATTCATAAGACTAATGATCCGTATTTTGAAATCTTATCTAATAATGAAACACAGCTAAAACAAAAAGCTCACAATGTAACAACATGTGCCCCAACACTTGAACATGGCAATATCTAATTGACGATGACCCCGGACGGGAGCTATTTATCGAGTAGAGCAGAATAGAGGACTTGCAATCGACACGAAGGTGTGTACGGATAATTGGATCGCTCGCCACAACTAGCTTTGTTCCATTTTACATTTTCTTGCTAATTGTACGATGGGAGTGTTCGCGATCGCACGTACAACGACAGAAGATACTCAACGAAACTCGTTACACAGCGCGATCTCTTTCCAATGCCACATAAGCCCCGCTATTATCTATTTAAACGTAATCGAAATTTTTACACACACATACATCTAAATAACATGTACACGATACGTTTACAATCGAAAGATACTATAGGACTCGAAGGCATTAGCATTTAATGATACGGAATTGTTGTAAATCCTAGCAGAGCAATCTGGATTGATGTAATTTTTTACCAGAAATAAATATTCTTATGTCTATTCAATCTACCCACATACATATAGCGGGTCGGAACATTATACTGTAAAAGCTCTACACACATATAAAAGAAACACTTTTGTAAGGAATACCCTAAGTCCTAGCGTTCAGGATCACAAGAGCGATTTAGGAAGTTGGTTGTTTGTTGAAGAATTTATGGCTCGCCCACTTTACTTGGGCTAATACTTTTAGCTGTTTCGAGTGGATACGCTCGAGAATTCCCCTTTTATTAGATAGCCAAGTATTTAATGCTGCTTCTAGATTTACAATTTGCTGCAACAGAGGACTTAGACCAGCTGTTGCCATTTTAGATATGGAGTAAAATAAAATAATTATTAGGAGTTATAGCGTCAATAAAAATGAACCATTTGTGAGTTTCAGCTGTCATGTTATTAAGGATCTCGACTTACAACTTTGTGACAGACGAACAGGTGCGTCTAAGGACAAGTTTTATTAATACTCTTTTTATCTCAGTGTACGGAATCCTAAAAACCAAGACACAATAGCGCAAATATGAGATGAAACAGGTAGAATATTTTGATGAGAGAAATTAAAATACACGCCATTTGTGATTGGAAAATATTGTTACAAAATAACAGATGCCAAATATGTAATTAATAATTTATTTCGGTAGAAATTCGATTTTATTATCGGCTCGATTGGAAAAACATGAAAATTCAACGTCGCTTTGAACGGCCGGCTTTAAATTAATTTCCATTTAGTTTTCATGCTGCAGATGTGAGGAAAATAAAAGTTCGTACTTACATTTGGCTATTCATTTAAAAATATGAATTTTCTGAGTGTAAACAAAAATTAATTTACTTTTTTTACCAAATAACGGTAGCCATAGACCTTTTGAAGAATTTTGCCCTTGCTAGATAGCGAGATGCGAGCCCAGGTGATTATTTACGCCAAAGACCGAATCGCAAGCTTCAGCAGGCCAAACACGTAACGGGATTCCTCCCCTCGAGGAATACGAATCAGACCAAATTCAATTACTCTTACCTTTAACCGTGCCACATCACTCACCAAAACTATTTTCAATCACTTCTCTATCGCTTATCATAGAATAAGGGGGATGTAATATTAAGATTTCTTTGCTTAACTTTTAAACTTAGTTATATACACGTTAGTTAGTGATCAAAGAAGGAAAAAGCTTTACTCCACCGGGGTTACAAACCTACAATAGGGTAGTGTTTTGTATTGTATGCCAACTCTTTAAAAAAATACTAGGTATAACACACTTTTTTTATTATGTTAGTATACACGAAGGCGAGGCATTCAATACCAAAGGTGTGGTGACCTAAGCGTGTTTTCTACTAATTTATAGAACAAATTTTAACGAATTGGCATTTTTTCTTCTTGTGAAATTATTATACGATCCCATATTTCAGGGTATCACGTAATTACGGTTTCTGAATAGCTCCCGAAACGTTGGGTCGTAGTTAAATGAATTAACTAAATAAATGATGTGCTTCCACTCACGTTATTTACAGATACAAATTATTTAGAAAATTACGGATTTTCATTTGGAACGCAGTACTCATATCAATACTTAATCCTACTCTATTTATAATCTTAAAATGTGCTTTTACATATATTAATTGCTGCAAAATTTCCGTAAATTCTGTATTTTCGAAATATAGATGCATTATGCAGCATCTCGTTAGCGCGACATTCTATGTAACCAGTTCTATACAAAATTTAGTCTTATTCCCAACGATGTAATCGTGTTTTCTTGTAATTTTTCTTAAACGCGACTTTAAATGGAATATGGATGTTATTGAAAAGAAAGTGTTCTTAATTTTCCACTCAGCGTACAAAGAATAACGCTTTTCCTGTTCAACTTTTCAACCAACGATTTCTTGTAAAAAATCAACGATTCATTTCTCTGCAACATTAATGGTACGACCTACACCGACGACCTCTCGTATACGTTATTTTTAGTAGTTTTAGTTTTTAGTTCTAACTGAAATACCGGTAGCGCATTTAGAGACAATACTTTTGCATGCGGAAAGTAAATGCAAGCCAATCGGTATCTGGGTATAATTTCCCGGTAATATCCGGGCCGCGTCCGCCCTGCGCACGCTACGCTCTCCGTTTCCGCCCGACGCCGATCGCATCCGCGCAAAACGGATTTCATTCACTTCTTGCGCTCGCTGTAACTTACCGATATTATATTTAATGCGAAACTTATAGAGTTAAAAGGAAAGACTTTTTCCTAGAAATGAATACTGTAAAAGACTACACGTTTATATAACGCTTTGTAAACTAAAAGAAACAGAAAAGGAACATAAAGACGAACTTTAAGCGTAAGATAATATATATAGAGAATGTTATGAACTTTATATTTAGACTGGTCACAGCAGGATTCTATTGTCTATGCCGGGAAATAGGCCAGCTAATAATTTGTTTTCAGGTTCCCGAAACACATTAACACTCTTTTGAATCAACCCAATAGTTATTTACGGAACGTGTTTCGTAAGATGTAATACTATCGTCACCGGATAACGCGGCATATTCAAATCAACCGGAGAGACAAACAGACAAACAACGTTTGCATAATGAGAGCGGGATTAGCGAGTATTGTTGTGATAATTCTGTTTTACCAAACGTTATTACTTTACGCGTAAAAGCGTTTTGTAATCGAGTTTTCCGTTCAAATCCATTTGGCTTGAAGTGAGAGGAAATTCCGTCAAACAATCGTTATTTGTGGTCGAATTGGAATCATCATTTCAGGTTAAGCTAAGTAAGTATCGATGCAGCTCTAGATTTAGATGATAAAGATTTAGTACCGCCGTCCCAGTACCTACTGTAATTCTTCCTTTATAATTAGTAGAATCCTGTGCTAAATCCAAAGCGATCGTTTACTCGAAACATACGCTGATGTTGATAAGATACGATTAAAACCTAAAAATAATGTTTAGACCGAAACCCCGTTAATATAGATATATTTAAGAGTCACATTGAAACTACTTTAATAATTGTTTGAAAAGACGAGAATTGATTACAATTAAGACTGTATAAATCAACAGACCCTGTCAGCTGACGAAGACGTATTTCCTTGAGACAGATGTCGCAAAAATTCTCGTAATCTCCCTTCTGTATTTATTTCGTTTCGTAATTCAATTATGATGCAAATTTTTGCTAAGAATGACTTTCTGGATTCGATTACTTTAAATCATGTCTTATTTGTAATTAATTATAAAAAAAATAATTATCGATTTATAAAATCATGATTATCGATCAATTATATATCCTTTGGTAATAGGAAGGGGGGGGGGGAAAAAAAAAAAAAAAATTTTTTCCCTCCGCGGGGGGGTTTTTTCCCCCCCAAAAATTTTTTTCCCCGGGGTGGATTTTTTAGGGGAGAGAGAGTGATTTCTCTCTCAAAAATATAATTGTAACAGTACAGTTCATAATAAAATATCTACTGGAAAGTTATATTAATTTATTGAGATTTTACTAATAATCAAACCAAAACTAATAGATTTGAATTTTTTTTGTTACTGTTCGCGAAAAATTTTAGACCGTGTATGTATTACTTATACGATCATTTGGCCATTGTTCTTTGTAGTAAATTTTAAAATATCCTTTGAACAACTAAAATATGTGCGCTCATGTATACCCTAAGCTTGCATGACAATTATTACCTTAATTAGCTACGGCCCGCAGAGCGATTCTTTGTTGTGAATCGAATGAGTTGTATCTATAGAAACTCAATTTAAAAATGGTTCTCATATTTCATGCATATTACTATACCATACCATACCCGATATTGGATAATAAAGTGTCTCAAACATAATAGAAGCGTTCCAGCAAAGGTAAAACAATTTCACTTAAAAATAAGTGAATTTAAAAGTGCAGAATGGAACCGCTAATGGACCCTCTGTTCACAGTTTATATTTTACTACAGTTCTATTAACTTGCACGTTGTGTCCCGCTAGTTATTAAGTTTTACATTACATTAGTCACGACCGTAAGAACAACGAGGCATATTTTTTCTGCTTTATTCAAGAAAATAAAGTAATATTTTATTGCTATATTTTCTTGATTATAGTATAGATAAATCGATATATATTGATTATAGAAGTTGGTGTATGTAAAGGACCCCGTTGTCATACTACGAATAGCCGTTTCTCATTAATGGCGGTAAATGAGAAATCATTTCTAACTTTAAGTGAGAAAAGTTTAATTACGTTGTTGTGGCATATTTTATGTAGATAGCCGACACGATCTCGTTAACACTGAAACTATAATGAGGTTATTTTTATATCAATAAATCTTGCCGGGGATTAATTTTATCTCTGGCAAGATCCGTGGCAGCCGGCGCGGGTAAGGGTTAAGGAACCATTTATCAAGCAAACGAGCTCACGGGCCGGGGGCAGGGGTCACATCAACCCGTCCGTCTCCGCTCGATGTCCATGAATAACTTTTTCGCAATTGTAAAGAACTTTCACGTCAGTAGCACCGTGTCGCACACCGATACTAAGTTCCTCGTCACGCATAATACAATAACAATAAAAGCTCCGACAATAATGCTCTAATTCTGCGAACTCGTTTGAATAAATTAATGTTTTTCGAGGCTTTGTTTCTCGTAGTTTCAATTCCTTTGAAAATAATCCGCTTAGAGCTGGCTCAAACAAAAGCAGGACGAAATAGAAAATATTTCGTTTTGTACGTACACACTAAGATCGTGTAATCCGCGGGTTTCGTTCCGACCACGTCGCTATTGTATATTCGCATCGCCTCCACCCACTTTTCTTTTTTAGCTAGTGAATAAACTATGTTTATTTGGCTCGCGTTGCTAATTTTAGTTCTACATGATTTTCGTCGACCGCATCAATGATAACATGCCCGTTGATACATCGACCACATTCGACTGAGCTAACCCAATAATAAACCGTGCTACTCTGTAAAATGTATATTCTAACTTTTTTTATATACGTCATCAAAATATCATAACAATATGACACAATAAAACTTCTAACGAATGTTATCTCATTTACCTCGCCATAAAAAGGCATATTACGGTAGATAACCTACAGAAAGACGCCGATAAAGCATTTCGATTTTCCTACGGTCTAGTGTACTTGTATTGGCGTGTGGATGTGTAAAGCACGGGGAGGGGGTAACATCTGCCAATTTCCGTATCGCTATAATATTAAACGGACACGACCGTTGTATTTGCCTAATCTAATACGCAAATTGAAAATAAAGGTACGTGTCTGTCGTACAGTGGTTCATAATTTTATATTGATATACACTAAATTGTGTAATAAACTAAAACTTAGTGCGCAAAAAGA